TGACTCAAAGTCGATTCACATAATAAAATTTATCGTAAAACACGATTTTTAGTTTGACGGCTTTTTCTAACTTTTTGCATAAAACGTTTTTATTAAATTTGACCCTAAACATATTGTACGATGATAGTAAATTTAGTTTGGTAGCCTTTTACAAGAACCATTTTTATTAAATTTGACCTACAATTTTTTTTTTTTCACAACTTAAAAGCATCCCCACAGGTAAGAAAACAACGTTTTCTAGTATTATCTGTAGGATACAGAAGCTACTGATTTGATTGGCTACTTTTTTGATTATGTTACAGAAAAAAAAATAAAATTTCTTATTTTGCTTTGGTGAAGCATTTACTATTAAATTATTATAAAAAAAATGCTTTGGCTGAAAGCGTGATTTGATTGGTTGAAAAAAGTGACTCAGCTGCAATCTGATTGGTTTATTCCAAAAAAAAATCATATGAATTTTGCTTCAGCTAATTTGATTGGTTAATAATTTTGCTTCAGCTAATTTTATTGGTTAATAATTTTGCTTCGGCTCATTGAGCGCTTTGATTGGTTAATAATTTTGCTTCGGCTCATTGAGCACTTTGATTGGTTAATAATTTTGCTTCGGCTAAAAAAAGAAATTAAAAATAGATTCTATAATCTTGTTATCTTATTGGTTATCTATTTTGTTCTATCGAAACATGATTCCAAAATATCAAGAATTTTTTTAGAGCCAAAATGAAATTACCATATTTGTTTATATTAAAATAGAAGATTCTTAAATGCCAAGAATTTTAGTACCAGATAATTTAAATTTGTTATTCGAAATACTGATTGGTGTTTTAAAACCGGTTATTCATTTTTTTTTTTTTTTTAATAAATTGTATCTTTTTTTTTTTTCTTGCTTACATATTTTATCAAATTTCATAATAAAAAAAATAAACTAAATGTCTCAACTTTATCATACAAATTCAGGATGAATTCCTAATAACCAACAAGAAATTTTTGATACTTTATCTGAAGATGTGAGTACAAAGTAGTATTTCACTAAAGATATATCAATTATTTGATATATGAATAAGCAACTGTCAACGATAATATTTTCAATGTTTAGTCAGTAACGAGTACGAAATTATTCACTTAGGTTCGTTTGAATCTAACTTTTTTTTTATTTATTCATTCAGAAAGAAATTCATTTCAAAGTTTTTAAAAACTTTAATTCAAAACAAAAAAGAGAATTCAAAGAGGAAATTGATTCTATTGATTACAGAAGACGTGAAATAAAGGTCTTCCAAACTACAAAGAAAGTTTACAAGAAGTTGAAGGGTCATTCAGATATTGATAAGAATGACTCTGACTTGCAGTTTTTGTTCTCTGAATATTATCATGTCTTTGGCAAATCAAATCCTTTAAACCAACATGATCGCTCTTGTGTTGGCCGTATCTTGAAACCAAAGAAGAAAATTCAGTTGAAGCATGTTAAAAAGGTTGTTGAAGACGATCTCGAAGAAGGGGTCCAGGTGAAAAATGATATTAGATATGTTGCAGGAAATGCAGGAATCACTAGAGCAGCATTTAAATATTGTAAATATAAATGTATTTTTATTTTAAAAGTTCTTAAAACAACTGATGATATAATAGTTCTGTATAAACCAAAATTCAATAAAGCTCTTAATTTCTTGTTAACAAATTAAATTTAAATTGTAAAATCTTTGGAAATAGAAATAGATATCCAATTACTTTTTAGTTATATTTTATATTTATTTTTAAATAAAAATTAAACTTAATGTTCTTTACAAAACAGCCTTTCTTTTTTTTCTATGTTTTGTTATCTCAGAATTGTTAGAAGACAATGAAGATATTGATACATCTGAATCGTATTTTTCATCATTATTTAAATCTTCAATTACATAATCAAGTTTATTCTCGACATAACCTTTGAATTGTATTTTTTTTCTTTTAGTTCTATGTAAACTATTTTCTAATTTTCTTCTTACTTCAGGATATATGATCATATTAACATGTTTATCATTCTCAATTCTATGGTCTATTAATTCAAATTTGTCAATTTGTGAATTAAAATTATGGTTATAGTATCGAATTCCTTTGCTGTCTTCTAATGAATTATGATTCCTGATTATATAAGCAATTTGTTCGAGAGTAACATCAGAATTGAATTCGATGTCAAATCGAAGATTGACAAAATCTTCATATGAGCCCTTTTGAAAAATTCTTTTTACTGAACAACAAAGATACTCAAATACACAAGGGCGTATATCATCATTTCTAAACTTTTTGTACTCAATAATATAGTCAAATCGATTATAAATTGAGGAATATTTTCTTTTGTTTTCTATTTTAACAGTCTCATTTCCAAAATATGGGGCATCTTCGAAATAAACATATTGATTTTGCAAAGATGTATTTGACGTGAATATATTTACAAACAAACAAAAATTTAGATGCCCGCTTTTTTTCTGCACGGTATGTGGTTTGTTATCGATTAATGTCAACAGAGTCGAAAATTCCATGTTGTGATTATAAAAATCATCAAATACAAAAACTTTATTTTCGTCATATCTCTCAAACCATTTTTCATCATTTTGCGACTTATGATATGTGTTAGAAAAAAGTATTTGTGTTAAGTAATCCTTTCCTGTTCTCGAGTCACCATAAATATAGATGTTGCAAGGAGTAAAACACCTCTTGAATGATTTCTTTTGACTATCTCGAATTGTGTTGTAAAGTTCTTTGATTATATGTAGTGCGATTCCTGAATTAACAAACGCGTCGATAACGATTTTATTTATTGGTTTGATTTGTTCTTTGATATCTTCAATCGTTTGTTTATGTATTTTTTTTTGTTCTTCTATATATTGGTTGAATCCTTCAGTGTTATTATTTGTTGGTAATTCTCTGTATTCAAATGGTCCAGAATTATTATCATCAACATGTACGAATGTTCAAAATTCCAAGCAACTTTCATCACATTTGTCACATATTTTTGTTAAATCAAAAAAATTACATCTGCAATAAGGATAATGTTTTGAACATCGATTTCTATCTTTCTTACAATATCTAATCATGTCTTCAAATATTCTATTATGATAATCAACATACATTTCTTCGTCTTGAAAAATACTTTTAATTGTTGAAGCTTTTTTACTATATTTATAATTTCTCAATCTCAATTGTGTCCATAGTATACAGAATCCTTGAATATGTTTTTTACGTGTTTTAGTATATTCATATTGAAAAACTATATATCGAATAATTTTTCTGTCAACATTTTCATTTATTAATTCTTTATATTTTTGAAAATTATCTATGTAAATCGTAAACATGAAACATCTAAACTGTGTTTTTCTTGAAATATTTGTCATTGTTTGAATTTTCTATTTTTGTTCATATATTTGTTTTGTGCTACTACACCTTTATATACTTTTTTAATAACTGCAGTAATTAAATGTTATTCTTAAAAAGGAAATTTAAATTTGTTTAACATCACGTGCTGCAGCAATAATCTACTGCGTATCAAAACAAAAACTATATAAATACTTGCTCCCAAAATTAGTTTAAAAAATGTTAAATACAAACACATCTGGTTTTGAAATATATATTATGAAAAATCTCGGAACTCATGGATATATTAAAAATATAAAAACAAACAGCTTCACAAACGTCGATTTCCTGGAGATCGTGAAGATAAATCTGTTCTAAACCGTGTAATCGAATATAAAAAATATCACGAAGCAAAATTAAATAATATATCAAACACCATTGATTACAAAAACACTAAAGCAAAACCACAAGATTCGACAAAACACAAAATTAATTTTATATTAAATTAACTAATTTATATGGTAATGTTTCAAAAATTAACTAATGATGAGTACAAAAAATTATCTAAAGAAGAGAAAAGACATTATCGTAAATTAGAAAAACAAAAT